TTCATTCAGTCTTGCAGATGAGAATTCTGATGCCAGATTAGAAATTATGTAAGTTTAATGGTCTTTATTTTATAGATGTCATTTAAAAATCTGAGAATTCGTAGGATTTTCTTTGTATCTTTGGATTTGAAAAATGGTAGCAATTAATTTTTTCTGGTATCTTGCACAGTACTTGGTAATAATCCTTTCAATTTAAAAAATTAAGTTCAGTGAAATTTTCTTCTATGCTTTCTTTGACTTCTGCTTTTTCAGTATTTGTTTTCTTCTTCATTATTTTGATTTTCAGCACTATTCAAACTATTGTAACCTCTTCTGTTAATCATACAGAATTCAATAAAAATGTTTAATTTTGTAAGAACAGATCTCAGGTACAGAGTAGCAGTGTCTTGAAAACAAGAAAAAGAAGGTTTTGTGAGGAGAGATGGAAAATACTAGAAATTAGGGTAGGTTTACAGTTATTTTAGGCTTAATTCATTAACTGAGTGATTAAAGAGTAAAAAACATTACAATCTTTATGGTACACTTATACATATTAGATTGTCACAACTTTTTGAAAAAATAACTGGGTACTTTATTGACATATTATTTATTCTTTAAAACAACACAAAAGCCGGGCTTGTTCTTGTAATTCTAATTTTACAGATGAGGCTGTGAAGGCTCCTAGGTGTTAGTGGCTTGCTCAATATTCCCCAGCTAATTAGAATTAAAGCAAAGATTTATATAAACACATTTACAAAATCTGAAATCATCCCTCTCAACACACCTGGAATATTTAAATAATTTAAATAGTTATTCCATTGAATTTAAGGTAAATGTGTTACTATTTGAATAGTTCTGTATGTGACTTGACTGATACCATATCTTTTAAAAATCGTAATCTAGTAATGCTTCACTGTTACTTAAAATACAGTAAAGACACAGTTATTCACATGGTAAAATCTGGATCCATAAGTAAGACCAAGCAAGACCTAACTTAAAGGTTAAAAAAGTGAAGTTCATTTGTCAGCCTTGGCGGTTCTGTGAACTCCCTGGAATTCAATGCAAATATGATGTGTGTGCTCTTCTCTGGTATTCTACTGCTTTTGTAAAGGGTGGGTGGCTCATGTTGGTTAAAATTATAGGTCTGTTATCTGCCTCTGTAAAACTCTAGTCATATGACAAATAAATCATTAGAAAAGGAAAACCAATCTAGTTTCATGTACAAAAAGGGATTATAGCCACACTTCATTTTATTGTGCTTTACAAATGTGATTTTTACAAATTGAATACAAGCCCCTCCATGACAAGCAAAAAGATTATGACCCTCTTTATTGTGGTTTGGAACTGAATTCACAGTGTCTCTGAGGTATGCCTGAATTTAATGAGTCCATATTTCTTGGAAGGAATTCAGCCAGAAATTCAATTAACACTGATCATCTAAAATGAATACCATTTAAACTAATGATTAGGCCCAAGAGAAGTGGCTTTATGTGGTTACTAGGTACAGCCTGGACTTTCTCCAGGTTTATAAAGTAGAGTCATTTTAGCTTAAATCAGACATTAGAGCTGATTTCCAGTTGCATAAACATTCAAGGCTAGAATCTAGACAAGGACACTTCTGATCATGTAGTGATCCTCCGAGCAATGCAAACCAAAGTCAGCCCCCTATGACAGATTCCAGCCAGATACTACAATGTGGAAACTGTTCACTCACTCTGATGGTGAGAATTTATCTGCTAAATATAGCTGCAGACCTGAGATTTCATGATGCTGTATAACATCTAGGCATAGGCGTGGGTCAGAGCCATAGGGGTTTGTACTATTCCAAGGAACTACCTGTAAAAATGCCAAGACTGCAACCCTGAGGCCTGGTTTGTTAGCGTTAGTGAATCTTTGTATTTGGGGGAGTCAGGCTGTCCTGAAGCTCTGAGGAGCTTCTGTAAGCTCTGTCCTCTATGACTAAGTCTAGACATTCATACCCAGGAGTGGGTGCTTAATAAAGTGTTTATAGAACAATTATGATTTCCATGCAAAAGAATATCCAACTCTTTGTAAATGGAAGTGTGAAGGGCTGTGAAGAGCTAGAGGACATACTGGAAGATACTGTTCCTTAACATCCAGCATCCTCAGCTACAGAATGGTTTTGATTCCGTAAAAATGAGTGGTATGAATAAGGAATCTATTCTAAAAGTTTGGATGTTGAGATCTCTCTTTTCCCTAAGCTTTAGAGGAGAATAATTCTAGAAACTCAGAGTGTCAATAGAAAAGGTCATCAGAAGAATGTGAGCAACACCTCTATTCCCAAGGAAAGCTCGGAGAGATGCCATGCAACTACAATTCACTCCAGTTTTTTTAAATTACTTTTTAACTGTATTGAGTCCCAGTAGGATTAACTGGCCATAGAGTGCCATGGGATTGACACAGTACCAATGTAGGGTATGTGAGGAAAACTAAATCTCTGACATCCTCCAGAGAACACGTGCTGGAGAGAGAATCTTAGGGGAAAGGCTTTATGCAGTGATGAGACCTCTGTGTTCACCATAGAATCCACACAGGAGAGAAACCATACACATGTGATAGCTTTCACAAAAGATTCATTCATGACACTACATTGCATGTTGTAAAGATTGTGGAAAATGCTCCAATTGCAAGGGAAACCTCAATGCTCACCAAAGAACCTATGTAGGAACTATATCATGTGAGTGTCTACAGCAGTGCTGAGTAATAAAAATATAATGTGAGCCACAAATTTGAGCCACATATATAATCAAAATTTCCTAGTGGCCACATTAAAAAATAAAAAGAAACAGGTGATATTAATTCCAATAATGTATTTTATGTAACTCCCACATGTCAAAATATTATTTCAATATGTAATCAATAAACATTATGCATGGCTATTTTACATTCTTTTTTTGTGCCCTAAGTCTTCTAAATCCAGCATGTATTTTATACTTATAGCTCATCTCAATTTGGATTCACCACATTTTAATAGTGCTCAGTAGCCACATGTGGCTATTGGCCACTGTATTGGACAGCATTGCCAAACCTTCAGTCAGCTGGAAAACTTTAATAAAAGTTAAAGAGTACACTCAGTAACACCTCACTCAATAGCACCAACAGATATCAATTGCTTATTTCCAAATCCTTGTCCTAGCTATAAAATAAGTTAACAGTGACTTGTAACATTATTATTCTGGATAGCAAATGATGTAATACATGCTAAGCACTTAGAAGAATACACTTGTTATAAGCTGTTTCACTTAGCTTACAATAAGTGCTCTGAAATATTAACATAACTATGTTAATGTGTTATATATGACTAAAGTATAATTAATTTTTCATTTAACAAATATCTTTTCTTATTTCTAGAATTCCTTTTTAGTTCCCAGCAATGTCCTTATACAAAAGGGCAGGACAATTTGTGCCAACAGGGATGAATCTGGAGGGCATTATGCTAAGTGAAACAATCCAGACAAAGAAAGACAAACAAAGTGGTATTACAAGTGGAATCGAAACAAAAGAAAAAAAGTTGAACTCATAGAAACTAAGGTGGTTGCCAGGGACTGGGTGGGGGGTGGAGGAAATGGAAAGAGATTGGCCCAAGGGCACAAACTTCCTGTTATAAGATGAATAACAGGATCTAATCAACAGCATGCTGACTGTAGCTAGCAGTGTGGTATCGTATACTTGAAATATGCTAAGAGAGTAGATTTTAAGCCTTCTCACATACACAAAAAATCAATAAATGATATCAGAACAGTTATTTAATTGTATACTCAATTATATTACCAAAGGATCAAATGAAAATATAAAATCAATAAAGAACTAGAGTAAGTATTACCATAAGTTGGGAGAATGTGAGCTGACTGGGAACCGACAGTGTGGGAAGGACCGCTGACGTTCCTTTGCTCTCTTCCACCTGCGTCCCCACCTTCTTCCTGTCCCATGACTGGATAGAGCGCACAGCTAGTGGAAGAGAGGCAAAAGCCCTACTTTATTGACATCACTGTGGTTCTCTGTTGACTCTTGCAGTTTTTTTTTTAAAGAAAGGTAGCCAGGTGAGTCATGATGTATCAATTATGGTAATCATTTCACAGTGTACAGTATATATATCAGCTTGTACACTTTAAATATGTTATAAGTGTATTTGTTAGTTTTACCTCATAAAGCTAAAACTGGGAAAAATCCCATTGTGTAATTTAAAAAATTAAGCATAAGGAAAAAATAAAACAAAAAGTGCAGGCTATTCTTCTTTTTGATGTATTATCCTCCTGCCTCTTATAGGAATAAGGAAAAAATTGAAAGTTTTATTCCCCACTCCCATTAACTTTGTTTTAATGGGGGTTATTTGTTCTGATTGGTCCCCTGGCCTACTGTTTGGAATGGCTGACTTATTTCATGTCTTGTTATTCATATGTCTGTAATAATAATTCATGGTCTGCTAATATTTATAAATGAAGGACCTGATTATTCAGTACGGGTAACTGATGTGGTCACTGCTTGCACTTATGCAGGCTCATGTTTATTTTTCCTGATTGATTTCCCCTCCGAGTGTGTGTAGTTAGGTGATTGATAAGTTGGTGGTTAATTTTTTGGCCCCACTTCTCCTTTTTGGGAGCTGTCGGTCTGTAGGCCTCTCCTTGGCTATGCTGTAGAATGAGCTGGGTGGCGACTGTTCGGTATGGGTAGCAAGTGTTCAGTCATTTAAAAATGGTCAAATTAAGCCCTGGCTGGTGTAGCTCAGTGGATTGAGAGTAGGCTGCAAACCAAAGGGTCACTAGTTTGATTCCCAGTCAGGGCATGTGCCTGGGTTGTGGGCCAGGTCTCCACAACCCCAGTGGGGGCCACCTGAGAGGCAACCACACATTGATGTTTCTCTCCCTCTCTTTCTCCTTCCCTTTATTTTTATTTATTTATGAAAATAAATAAAATCTTTTAAAAATGGTGAAATTAAGTACCTCATTAGAATATTTGCTTTGTATCTATAATATTTAACATGTTGTTATATTTTTTTACAGGAATACACACGGCTTCCTAAAAGCCATTATGAAATTATTACAAATGCAAGCTGTTAAGGAAGGACAAGCTGGGGAGAAGAACATTCAGGGTATATATTCTATTAGGTAAGCCTTTTCCCCCTTTCTTTAAAAAACATGTTTTTTATTGTGTGAATTGTTAAGTTATGAACTGAGACATGCTAATCCATTAAGAATTAGTTATTTCAGAGATTGAGCAAGTGTACTTAAAGCAGGAGGGTAAACTTTCTCACTGTAAAAAATAATAGGAGACTAACAAAGGGTTATTACTCAGGGATAGGTCAGTAGTTAGGAACCTTGATTTGCCTTTTCTTTGTCATCTATAGAATATAACATGGTAGAATTACTTTACAAAGAAAAACCACACAGCAACAATTAAAGTAAAATGCAGTGGATTTTATTTGTGAGTGTGACCTTAACCGCTGCCTTGAAGGTCCTAGAAAGCCATTTCTTAAGAGAGGAGCTCCCATCCAGTGAACAGAGTACCCCAGAGGATGCCAGTAACCAAAGCATATCGTCTTAGGAACTCTGTTTAGTGATGAGTCCAGAAATGCCTGCTTCAAAAGAATGAGAACATGGGACCATAAACAAGGGTACTGGTTCTTGGTGGAAAGTGGCTTACACAGGCTAGGACAATTCAACAGGGAAAGTAAAAGATACATGAAAATCCTCATTGGCTTGAGCATACAGCACCTGCAGTTTGGAGCATTTGACACCACGGAAACCAGAAGCTGAGAGGAGTTTCTCCAAAATGTTGAGTGGTGCCTACTTATGTATATGTATAGTGTTTACCTTTTGAGAATAAGTCAACTGTGTGTCTTGTGTTACAATGATCTTTCCTGAAATTGTAGTGCTGTTTATGATCTCTTCTTTTTATGAGTATAATATTTTGAGTTTTTAAAGCCAGTTTTTTCAAACAAGGCCAGATTTCCATTTTACAGAGTTTTTTCTTAATATGTCTTTTGAATGTCTTCAAACACACAGAAAAGTTGGGAGATTATAGTACAGTAAGTTAATAAATTCATTTACTTATTAACTCAATTAATTTTTCATTTTTATTTTTTTTAAAGATTTTATTTATTTTTAGAGAGGGAAAGGGAAGGAGAAAGAGAGGGAGAGAAACACCAATGTGTGGTTGCCTCCCATACGCCCCCTGCTTGGGGACCTGGCCCATGACCCAGGCATGTGCCCTGATTGGGAATTGAACCAGCAACCCTTTGGTTTGCAGCCTACTCTCAATCCACTGAGCCACACCAGCCAGGGCCATTAATTTATTTTTAAACAGGGGAAGCAAAAGGAAAATTATTTGCTATTTGAAAATACTGTGGAAATGGGATGTGCAGCATGAACTTTTCCAAACTGATAAATATGTTGTTTTTTTTAACATAGTTTTGCCTCCTGAGGTACAGTTTCATTTCAGGTTTGTCTTTGATCCATTACCTTGACCAGAATTGAACCTAAGGAGTAGATGAGCAGATCTTAGTATTTCTAGATGTGTCATGTGAACATCTGTGTTTTTTCTCTCTCTTTTTAAAAAGAAGTTCAAATTCTTGGGCCAGAGTTTTAAGGTAGAAAATGATTTCATTTCATTATTGGATTTCATTTCATTATTGTTCACAGCAGGGGTGGCGGGGGAGGGGGGTTATTTATTTATTATTTATTTTAAGATAGGAAAGCTATTGAAGTTTTTAATTTTTTATATAACAGTTTTATGACAGAAATTGACCCATTTATAGTATATGATACCCATAGTTTTTAGTATGTTCATAAAATTATGCAACCATCACCATAATAAATTCTAGGACTTTTTTTTTTTATCATTCCAGAAAAGAATTCCTCACCCATTAGCTGTCTTTCCATATTTCCCTCCACCTAGTGGGGTATTTTAAGTTTAACTTAATGTTCTCAACCCTGGCTGCTCATTAGGAATATCTGGGTGTGGAACCTATCAAAAATCAAATACTCCTGCCCAACTAAGTCAGAACCTTTGCCATGAGGCCTAGATGTTTGTATTTTTAAAAAGGCCCAGGTGACTCCGATTCACAGTGAGTGCAAGATGGTAGGTTAGCTGCTCATTAAGGTGAATTCTCATCACCTGGGACCTTGTTGAATGGCAGATTCTCTTTCCTTATGGCTAGGGCAGACTCCAGATTCTTCTCTGACAAGCTCCTAGGTACTGCTGGTCCCCCATCAAGTAGCAGAGCTATGAACAGCATGAGCAGTACCTGGGGGTTTGGTGGGAATGCGGCTTTTCAGACCCCATCTCTCACTGCCCGAATCACAGCCTGCATTCTGGTAAGAGTTTTCTGCATTCTGGTAAGGTAATTTAGAGGCACCTTAAAGTTTAAGAAGCCCTGTTTAGATGATGGTAAAGGGAATTTTCTGTCACGCATAAGAATTAGAGTTACTCTTATTTTCATACTGATTGTCCTCACTGGCTGTGAGTGCTAGACCTTCAGTCGTCTGTAATCTTTCACTTATTTTTCTATTTATAATTTATATTCTCCTGTACTTGGTTCTTCTAACTGCAGTCTTATTTTCACAAGATAATAGGTGCTAGGCATGGATAGGGAGCTTAGTTTGAGGAGCCGATATCATAGTGGATACATAAGGTTTGTCCTTAGATTGGTGGCACGTTAAGAGGTCCAGAATCAACCACCTGAGTTGGCATAATCCAGTAATGTTTATGGAGAGCCCTTATGTGAGTGGCTGTCTGGCACTATAAATCAGTAGAGAGCAATCGAGTGTGTAAGGGCCTTAAGTTCCTCCAGGGGGGATTGTGGATGACAGAAACCGGGGAGAGGTGAGCCTGAAGAGCAGATTCCCCTCGAGAGAGCTGTGATTACCTGAGTCAAGCACAAAATCGTCATGCTGTTTTAGAGCCTTCTGTGCCACATGTTGGTTGGCATTATCACACAGCCTTGGAGCGGCAGCTGATGAGCTGTGTCTGAAAGCATAAACCAAGATATGAGAGGCTCAGAACTCCACTGAGAGGTGTTCCCAGTTATGCTGTAGTAGAACAGAATATGTGGTCATTTTAAGTGAGTCTGTGCTGAGTTACAGAACTCATGCCAGTATGGGAGTAAAGAGAGAGGGAGATGTGAGGGCCCAAAATGTGAGCCAGTGGCTTCCATGGTCCCTGTGAATTTCTTGAAGGAGACCTAGGGAGGGTTTTCTCTTTGTTGACCCTGGACCTCAGTGTCCATAAGAATCACCTGGGAGCTTATTAAAAGTATAGCTTCTCAAGCCCACTTACCAGAGATTCTCATTCATTCAGTCAGTTTTGTGTAAGATTCAGAATCAGCATGCTTGTCCAGTTAGTCAGTACTATGGATATAGGTCCTTTGTGGATCACACTTGAGAAATACCGCTTGAGCTCCTGAGAGTTTTATGGTACCACATATGAGCTGCAAGGAACCCCTCAGCTACACGAGCAGGTGGTTCTTACGTGGCCTAATCATGTCTCCTTGCCTCTGTTCCCTATTTGGGAGGGAAAAGGTCTGTATGTTTTTAAGTCGCAAGGCACCAAGTTCCTCTTGTCATGTCCACTGTGTTCAATAGAGGCCTAGAGCAGAACCAAAGAATAATTCTAAAGGAAAAGCAGTCCAATGAGAGCAAGCCCCATGCACATGCAGGGGGAAGAATATAAGAGATTTAAACCTCATTGCTCTGTTCAGTGAAATAATGCCATGGCCAGAACACATTAGTGTTCTTCCTGGTCAGCAGGTAGATGGCTGGAGGAGGAGGAGGAGGAGAGAGCCCTCAGCACCCTCCCGGAAACCACCACTGGTTTTTAGTGTTCACAGTGCATAAGCAGCTCATGCTCAGTGTTTGATGTGTATGTCTGGAACATGCCTGCAAACCTGCATTTTAATAAGAGACTTGGATGTACAGATGGTCTGTTCACCATGCTTTGAGATGCACTAGATTAGATTGTGTGCAGCTAATAAAGTTCCTGTTGCTTAACCGTATCCTTCTTTAGTTTTGTGGTTTAAACAAGATTAAATGGGGATATTTAAGTGGGGTTTCAACTTCCAGTGCCTTTGAGGCTGGGGAAAGTTGGAAGAACAATGCAGTAGGTTTGCCTAGGTGATTAAATGAAGAGCATATGCCAAGTGTTAAAACCTTGGGCCTCTCAACCTGCGAGCACATAGAGCCCCCTGCGGAGCTTTGAAGTGGGCAGGTGCCCTGGTCCTTCCTACATGACTGGAGTATCAGCCTTAGGCATTGGTGTTTTTTCAAGGCTTCCTGGGTGGTTTATTTTTTCCCCTTTCACTTTTGTTTGGTCTGAATTTCCTTTGGGTTAGCCTCAACTCCACATTTTTCCTGTAAAACACGTATATTTAACTAAGTTAATTAAGCATTCTTGACTATTGACCATATAGGAAGTTTGTCAGAGAACTAATATTTGGCTGGTGTTTTGGTTTCAGGAAGAATAACTAAACTAAATTTTTATTATTTATAAGATATTAAATGCTCAATTTCTCATTTGCTTTATAATGTGCCATTTTCCACCCTTAAATTTTATCACGTGCTTTTGCTTTTAATTTTTCCTCTGCATATTCATATTATGGCAGTCTCCTTAAGATCTCTTCTCTCAGTTGAAGTGAGGAAATAGCTGTGAATTCATGAGCAGTAACTGCTTGTTCCAGAATTCTGCATCTTTCTGATGTGCCAGACAGTGGCTGACATGCACAAATATCAAATGTTAAGAATGTTATTTGTGGAAAGGTTTGGTCTGATCAACATCAAGCTGTACTTTCTGAAATAAGAGAATATTAAATGTTTTTGGCAGATGTGTGCTCTGAAATGGGTGATTAGGCCAATGGTAATGGCTAGTTAATATCCTGAGTAAATTAAAGTTATGAAGTCTATATGTGTATTTTTCATCCATTTGTGCAGTGTTATATAGTGTATTCAGATGGAGATTTCATTTTAAGAACTTCAAGATGTGTGTTCTAAAGGCTGAGGTACTTTGTAATGAATACTGACTTTTTTTCATTTATCTCTTAAGGCAAATGCATCTATTCCTTGGGTGAAAAGAGGAAAATGAGAGAAAGTTTCAAGATAATATACAGAGTTCACTA